AAAATCATATAAGCAGACACTGACTCCCAGGGCCTCTGCCCACCAGCTTCAGCACACCAAAGCCAGACCTCTAAGTACTCATCTCTTTGGGAGTCTATACAAGCACCTCAAAGCCCTAAGTCTCTCACCACATGGATCAATCCAGACCTCCTCTGACTCCTTCCAGAATTCTATCAGAATCTTCTCAGCCAAAAGAAAATACAACTCCCTCACAAATCCAACACATCTTGGTAACAACTAAAATCTGAAAAGAATCAACTGGGGATACTGGAAATAATTTTCTTGGTAATCTTGTAGATATCTAAACCCATCACCATGTGTCATGTCCCCGGTACCCTCTTTTACCACCCATCCACCCACTATTCATCCTTTTCCTATGTCTTTATCCCCTTACTACCCTGTGCTTCCTCTTCCCAATTTGCCCTACCAGTGCTCCTCTTCTTCCCAAATATTTCTGCCATGACTTTTGGAAATCAGATTTCAAGTTTAATAAATCCTGCTATATTTTCAAATTCTTCAACACTAATTTCCTCCATTTTCTGTATCTTAACATCTCTTTCTCCCCTGCAATTCCCTTCTCTTTGTAAACCTCAAGACGTTTAGTAAATATTATATAAAATTACTTCATATAGTATTTTGTTTTCATCTATTTCACTTATCACCATATCTAATAAGCATGATGAGTCCGTAAATCAAATGGATACCATTTGCAAAGGAATAACTGGTAGGAGTCTTGAAGAAACAAACACTGGTGGGAACACAACAGTCTTAGAAGGTATTTCATAGATTTATTTCTAAATTTTATAAGGCACCGTACACACACAATTTAACCTTCCCTAAAATGAAAAGTTCCCTATTCTCAAAATGCAAGTGATTTTTCTCCCTGATTTGTATGACAAATAATGTACTTTAGTTTTTAATTATATATAGAAATAAATCATATAGATATACAATAGTCATAACAACATATACTTTGAAATAAGTACAGTCTGTAAGAAGAAATAGCAAAGCAAGAGAGATCTGCAAATATAATTAGATATAAGTTGGCAAAAATCCAACTAAAAATTTCATAATAAAAGATAGCAGAGGGGCTCAGGGAATCCCACTTTCAGATGTGATCTCTCCTCAGTTGTCATACCAACACCAAATCCTTTTGTTGGTGGTTAACAGGCTGGCTCATCTGTGTGGGGCACTGGCAAACAATAGTAGTTATGTTCTAACTCACAAATGACTATACTTCATTGAGCTTATGCTCAGTAGGGCAGTGTTTGCTAACCACTTAGATTCCAGGATGGAAAGAGCTACAAAAATGAAACATGCAGTTCTTCTCTGAGGTTTGTTATTAGCCTCTGTTAGCCACAGGTTACAAGGCACTAAACACTACGCACTGTGTGTTTGCTTGTAACCACTATGAAAAATAGTCTATAACATCTTTCTGAAGACTCCTAGAAAAATTTAAGGCAATTCTAAACCTGGGAATTTAACTGGGATATACTTCAATTCTTAGAACAGTTCTTGTCAAAATATCCCACTAATTCTTTCTTGGGTGTCAATTCAATTTTGTTTCACACAATACTATTCAACAGACTATTTATTACTAAAGTTTAATGCTACTGGGGTGGGGGGAGGGAGGAGTGAAGAGGATAAAATAATCAGTTTTATTTGAAAGTAAATCAATTTCCAAACAACAAATAAGCTTCTTCATGGATGTTTTAAAAAGCTTTTAAAAAAAGATTCACTAACTTAATAGCTCTGATGGTTTTAAGATAATTATTTTTATACCCAATATATAAACTAGAGAATCTAAAATAAAATCCTAATAATACATTAAATTGATGTCCTCAAAACAGTTCATCAAAACATTATTTATGAAGAGTTCTATCCTGTAACCTGTGTGCTAAAATATAAAGTATTCATGAGATAGGTAACAGATAGCATCAACAACTCTAGAAACAATATTGATCCACTTTGAAGAATAATTATATGATATAATATAAAGTTAAGTATATTTAAATGCTACTAGAATTATTTGAAAGTATTATTCTTGAAAAGTAACATTTTCCCTAATTTATGGTAGTGAATTGTAGTTAGAGCTTCTCTGACCTGGATAAAAAATTTACACATATTTTAACAAGAAACTACTAGTAAATGCACTTTATATATTTTACATAGCATTTCATTTAAAATCTCTGGAAAGAAGAGAAAATTTATTATGTTATCATTAATTTATGACAATTCATTTTATCATCTCAGAATTACTAGTTTCCTGAGACACTTTCATGCAAATGTTAATGGACCTCTCAGAAATACTATATTATATTGTTGTTTAATAAAACATGGTATATGCTTACAACATTCACAGAAATTGTAAAATATAAATAAGACACCATCAAAGAGAAAAAAAGACCACCTCCAAAATAGAAATCTTACATAACAAGTTCTAAAAAATATATAGCAATCTCTTCCTCCCAAGATATGAGGTGAATTAAAAGAGAATAGAGAAATTTTACTAACCTCAAGTACTCTCAAAAAATGTGGAAATTTCTGAAATTTCTACAAATTTGCCCACGATGCCTACTAATTATAAGCAGGTATGTAATAGTATAAAACATACACTGTACAAAAGATGATGTGAGGGGATGTCATACATTATGAATGTACAAAATGCCACTAATTATATACTTTAAAATGGTTCATTCTATATTACGTGAATTTCACATTAATATTAATTTTTATATAATACCATAATTTTATAACATTAACAAACTTTAAATAATTTAAGTATATCAAATAATAATTTTTAATGACTTTACATATGGTAAAATTAAAAGATTCCAATACATGAGTGTAATATTTCCCTAAGTTTTAAATTAATTAATTAAATTTTATATTATTTTCACTGAGATGCATAAAATCTTCCTGTTCTCCACTAACTCTAGCTACATCTATAAAACATAAAGATTTTATTTGACACTCAGAATCAAATATCATAAGAAGCTTGACTAATCTAATTTTCTTTTTTTCTTTTTAATCCAATATGTGTCCTTGAAGATAGATCTTAATGGAGCAAAGTGGATAGAGATTTTTACTTTCAAATCCCATTTTATCAACTATGTGAAACAAGGACTGTTGATTTCCACAAATCTCTGTTCAGCAATTTTTCTTTAGCTTAATATCCACTTTAAACATAATCAGTTAAAAACAAAAAATTAAGCAACAATAAAGACAGAAACCAAAACCTGAGATGTACCTTTTAAGGGAAAAATAAACATGCATAAAGTACCAAGTCATATGGTCACAAGAGAAAATGTTAAGTGAGCAGGAAGGCTTTTCAGGAGACAAAGAACAATCTATCTATATATATAAAACCCTAAGCGACTGTTCGACCGTTCAACCAGTCATAATGATGTGCACTGACCACCAGGGGGCAGACGCTCAATGCAGAAGCTGCCCCCTGGTTGTCAGTGCACTCCCACAGATGGGCACCAGATGCCAGGCTCACAGTTGGCGAGCGCTGCTGCAGTGGTGCGAGCCTCTCCCATGGACACTCCGCCTGCATGCCCTTCCCCCATCTGGACCAGGACTGGGATTGGGACCAGCATCAGGACTGACTGGGTGCAAGGCCGTGGCCGCTTCTCGGTCATGGGCACACCGGTATCTCCCTAAAACTGGCGCGCAGAGACCGCAGCGGAGCAGCAGCAAGCCTACTCAGCAGCAGCAGCAGCAGCAGTGGCAGCAGACACAGCAGGGCCAAGATGAGCAATAGCGGCGCAGTGCCCAGCCTGGGTTTGGGCTCCTCCCCAGTCGCCCGCCACTTCGCACACTACTACATCCCTCAGGGATGTTGGACTGCCGGTTTCGGCCTGATCCCCACAGGAGGGACCCCACCGGTGCACAAATCCATGCACCGAGCCTCTAGTGTAGAAGAAAAGGCAAAGAAGAAAGAGTTCTAAGAACCCAATCAATGTATCAATCATATAAAAAGCAAAAGTAGGGCCTTTATACATGATCAGAACCATATGAGCCTCATTTATGTTAAAAAATAATTCAGAGAATCTCTTTTTCATCAAAAATTAAAGTAATGGTATTTAACAATCATCAAACTTCATGAAGAAGAGTGCTTAACATTATCTGTCTTCATATTCTAGATTCATTTCTTATAGGCAACATAGTTCTACATAACCAAGTTCTTATTATCCCACTAAAAACATCAAACTCCTCCCAGTGCCCAAGATGATGTGAAGGAGACACACTAATTAAAAGTGGAAGAAAGAGCAAAAATTAATAGCATGTCCATAATTAACTTTTTAAAGTATACTACTACCATGCACATTCCCTATTTGTACAATATTTTAATTTAAAAACATGTCTATATAAGCTCATGTTGCCAAATAATTTTTGTTATATAATATATACATTTTCTTCTGAAAAGACATCATTATCATGTTAAAATATTGTATGTGCTTCATATATATAATTAGTCATACTTAGTTTTCTGATATAATATAGTGATATATCTATTAAATCTGGAGAACTATAAATATTTAGCAGACTAGTTCATATAACAAAAATATAGATATACAAATATGCTTTTTGTCCTCATAATTTAAATGAAATGAAATTTTCCCTTTCTATATTTTTCATTCATTCAGCTTATATATTTTGAAAGTTTTCACTATTCTGAAGTCAGCTAATAAATATCACGGTAACAATTATCATTACATTTATTCAACTGCTGATAATAATATCATGTAATATAAGTAGCATATGAAAGCTATTAGAGTCACAGCAGTTCCTTGATCCAAATCATTCCAAACAATTTGGGAAGGATGAAACCAAAGGATTAGCACAAATATAAATTTAGTTTCTCTACATATCAAATAGAAATCATGTCCAAAAAAAGTGTGTGTGTGTGTGTGTGTGTGTGTGTGTACCCAGTTAAGTGTGTTTGTGAGAAGAGTATTTTCAGTATCAGAATAATCACAGAATTCATGTCATACCTGGGCTCCATAGATATATTTATCCAACATCTTGCCTCCTATTGTCTGCCCTCCTATATCCCAAACTTGAAGTGTAACATTCAAGTTTCCTAAAATAAGGAAAACAAAAAAGGAAAATAAAAGAATACAAAAAAGTTAAGTAACAATGTAACAATTGAATCCAGTTTCACAGAACATTAAATCACAATCATAAACTATGAACCTAATTTGCCTTTTATTATACAGACTCATGTAGTCAGATATTCGAAAGTATAAAGTTATGTTATCAAAAGAAATCATAGTGGAAATTTAGGCTTATACTTTTACCCCATTTCCATGGAACCACATTTATAATTACCTTTAAAACAAAAGAAAATAAAGAAAGCATTAATTCATAAATTTCTTAAATCTTTTTTTTTAATATATTTTTCTTGATTTCAGAGGAAGGGACAGGAAGAGAGAGATAGAAACATCAATGGTGAGAGAGAATCATTGATTGGCTGCCTCATGCACGCCCCACACTGGGGATAGAGCCCAAAACCAGGCATGTGCCCTTGGCCAGATTCGAACCTGGGACCCTTCAGTCCGCAGGCCAACGCTCTACTCACTGAGCCAAACTGGCTAGGGCAAATTTCTTAAATATTAAAAAATTTTTCTTGAACAAAAAGTAGAACAATATAGTATTTGTACCTGGAACAAGAAAGATACTTTAAAAATAAAAATTGAATTTTATATACTAACCTACCCTATTGCACATAATGAATTTTACTGTTAAGTTCCATACTCTAAAGATTCTAAAGCCCACAGAATGATAATAGACAACAAAATGAATCCATAGTTTCAACTCGAATAAATTTTTTAAATTTGAATGTCAGCTATTATATGCAATAGTAAACATAATAAAAAAAATACATGTTTTCAAATTTAACTTATAAAATACAAACACAATCGATTACCCTCTTCAGAAGTGAGGTAGGGTACATACCGCATGTATCACTAAATATGATGCATTTATACCTGTTCAAAGCATTTCCATTGAAACAAATTATATGTGCTTCAAAGCCTTCATAAAATCGGCTTTATAATGCTTCTTCCATGCACAAACATTATAAAAACACAAATCAATCTTTAAAATTTTGTAGTTCATTTTGCAAATTATTGATAAGCTACTCTCTCTAATCAATACAATTAATGACTAGAAAAAGACCATGTTCAATATGCTTTGTAGTTTAACATTTCAAACTATTTCTTCTAATAAAATTATGCAGTTTTCTCCAAAGGTAGGCAAAATTTCAGTATCTTCAAAATGAGTTCCCTCACCAAAAATGTATCTTCAGGCGGCTGATGATGTTTCTCTCTCATCGATGTTTCTGGCTCTCTATCTCTCTCCCTTCCTCTCTGTGAAAAATCAATATAATCAATACAATTAATGACTAGAAAAAGACCATGTTCAATATGCTTTGTAGTTTAACATTTCAAACTATTTCTTCTAATAAAATTATGCAGTTTTCTCCAAAGGTAGGCAAAATTTCAGTATCTTCAAAATGAGTTCCCTCACCAAAAATGTATCTTCCTGAAAAATTTGCAAATCAGAAAAACGCAAAATAAAAACTTAGAAACTAAAAAAATGGTCTCACCTCAAACACACACACAAAAAAAAAGACGAGAAAAGGACTATAAAATATATGAATTTTTATACCAATGTAAAACATTAAAATCGGAAAATGTTAGTCAAACCATTCAACTTTACAACTGAAAGGAAAGCACAACACTGGACTAACCAGCCAAGTTCTGCCCTTAACTCTGAGTTTTGTTGGGTGTTGGGTATGCATTACAATCTTTCCATTATTTGGATGTAGGTCTGTTCATCTGCCAACATGCAGAGGATTTACATGAGGAACTTCCATTAGCATTAATGAGAGCTACTGAAGTTTATCACCTGTCATCATTCCCACATACACTCACTTTCGACGTTCACAGAGTAATGACAGAAGTGTTTTTAAGCTCTATGAATACGAAAACCAAAATGTCACAGACTAAGACTTGTCCAACAACTTGTAAAAACATAATTTCTTAAAAATCTAAATTTTTCAAAATTCGAAGCTGAACTCATTCCCCTATACTGCTGTCTCAAATTAAGCAGGCAGGGCTAGCCATCATTAGAATTATATCAAATAATTTCAGAAGCCCTTAGGTAAACAGGCAGTATTCCACTCATTTTATTTGGAAAAACTCTTTACAATCAGTATCTAAAAATATTAATATTTTTACAGTAGGATTTTTGGCAACACTTAATAAAATACATCTACTCCCATTTTTTTCAAGGACAGTAAAACCTATCACTTAACTTCATATGAAGATATACTAAGCCTTTTTCCTTTAAGTTCTGATATTCAGGTCCTATCTGAATTAAGTGTTGTGAATACTTCAACTATAACTTTAGGAACATGATCTTCATGACATGTTTTCAAATTCTGAGGACAATCACCTGAAGACTCTAAATCATTTATTCAACTGTCTCCATCTAAGAGGTTTATACTGTATTTATGTGTTGAGGGTATTTTTTAAATCCATACCTTTCCGAATAAGCACTCTTTTGTGGTTGGCTTGTGTTTTTTTTAATATACATATTCTAGTGCTTCAGAAATAAAAACTGCTATGCATTACTGATAACCCATTAATATACAATGCTAGCAAAAGAACAAAGCAAAAAAGAAAATTTCTACTACCATAACCTCAACAAATATTAACTTTTAGTTATTTCATATATCTAGAAACATAATTTTAATTGCCACATTTGAATTTGAGATTAACACATAAAAATAAAAATGAAATCACATAAACATGGAATTCAAATCAACATCACTTTAGTTTCTGCACACGTAGACATGAAGTCTCCCAGTATATTTTCAAAATAGCATACCTATGAAGCTATATAAATAACTAATATTTAAATAATATTGCAAAATTTTTAAAAATCAAGAATCTATCTAATATAATTTTCTAATAAAAAAAAAACATTAAGAAAATTGCCAGCAATCTAATCCCAAATGCAAAATTGTACAAAATTCCTGTTCCTTTGTAAGAAAAGACATGTAACTAGAGAAAAAAAATAAATAAATGAGGTGACAAAATACAGGTAAGTTTCTTTTGGTATGAATCAAAGCCACAAAGAGGATTCAACAGTGACCTTATAAAAGTACACTTGGTGCCTTGGTTAACCTTACTTAAAGTGCTGCATAGTCAAGATGGAACTAAAAACACAAGTCTGCCCACTTCTTGTACTAAAGACTTAGAAATCCTTTTCACAGTAGAACGCTGTTTACTGGACTGTACCCACAAGCTTCCTGAAAGTATTTTGACTAAGGCTCTTAAGAAGCTCTATCAGCAGAATCTCTGACTAACAGATAGACTATTTTAAGCAGTAAAATCTGCACAGTGGTTGCATCCAGACTATACAGCATACCAGATCATGAAATACACTAAAATGGATGAGTATTTGCAAAGTAATGACCTTGAAAACGTGCATGAAGAGAATGTGAATAGCTGGACAGGCGGTATTACACCGCTAACAATCTGAATGGACATAAGAGTTATTGGAATACTAATAAATACTAGATTTGATTACTATGCTTCTTTACTATAAATCCCATAATGCTACCTGCAATGTTTTAGCAAAGGATACAAATATTGATCATACTATATTTAACAGTTACAATGAATTAAAATTAAGGTAATGTATATTAAGGATATACTATGACTTTGTAATTTACTCACCTTAATAGGTAAATTATTTCTTAATTTACCTATTAATTATATAAAATCAAGATACATTAAAACTATTTTTTCCTACTGAAATTTCTACCATAATGTCTACTTAATAGACATAAATCCAATTGCCTTTTCAAAAAAAAGGAAATTTCTGGAACTCTGCCCATCAAAATAAAACTGAATCAGGAAAATTAAAATATACATTCATTGAATATACATTTCCTAACATCATTTTTTAACCTAAGTACTTTCTAACTCTAAAATATTACACTATAAATTTGAATTTCAAAAATACCAAATATTTTTTGCAAAGTAATCAAAATTTAAAAATTGGTTAGTATTGTGCAACAGATCAGAAATCATCACATCTATCAAATACATAAAATGTCCAAAATTAGTCTTAAAATGTTTTTAATGTTTGAGTAGGTACTTGCTCCTTTATTTAAACCTCTGAACTAAAAAATCAGAAAAATTAAACATATTAATGATACAGAAAGATGGTGTTTTTGCTAATTAGCATCAAAAGAACATAGTCAATAACTAAGTACATTCTGAGATTCCCTGTGTACGTCTGGCACTTCTGAAAAACTGCTCTAAAAGTACGTTTTCAGCATGTATATTATGTGATAATGCATGTATTCTGCTAGTGACTGCTGTAAATATTATGAATGTAGCAGTAACCTACCCATAAGAGTGAGAATGATGAAAATAAAATGAGATTTTTGGTTTTGAATACATTAAAAGAAAATACAAGTGAAACTAAATATGCATATATTTCTCATTTAAACCTCTTGTTGAAAAATAACTCCATAATAGAATATTATAATTCTTTTCTCATACTATGTCTTCTAATTTCTTTTTCTAAATACAGACCACCATAAAATATAAGAGCCTATTACTAGTAAGATTTGCAGAATACCTTAAATTACCAAGAGTTTTCATTAGCTGTTCCAGAACTCTCATGGAGAGCTGAGAGATGGGGTGCTTGAGAGGTTAAAATATTTTCATAATATTAGATTTTACTAAACCCTTTCCACTATCACTCATATCCCAGCATAGGATTCTGACACTACACTTGCAACTGTTTTTATTCAAATGGGTTTCCTCAGAGAGGAGAGGGATACACTAGTTTATAAGGCTAATCAAGATAAACTGCTTTTAATAAAATACTTTAAACATATAATTTAACCATCACAGTGAATGGACAGAAAATTTTAAAGCCCCAATTGTTCAGTAACTAACTTAAAACAGAAACCACTCTTTTTTTGTTATTATTTCCCTGTATTTCCCACAAAATGTGCTGCAACTGGCATCTAAATAGTTTCTTTGCATGGTGAACTGAAACATCTTGAATGCTCAAACTGTATTTTTATGAGTGCCTAGGGACCCTAAATTTTAGTGGTCTATTAAATGCCAGCAATTTCATGCTGCCTTGCATAAAACAGCATTCACATATTAGAGCACAGAAGTTCCATAGCTACATTATACTTCTGGTCCAACTTTCTCTCAAACAAAAAACTGAAGCAGAGGCTAATCAAAATAATATTTTAAAAAAATAATCCTTTCCAGTCTTTTCCATTTACTTTATACGGTATCTGTTGATAATAGTATAGCGTTTGATTTTTTTAAAATGTCTTAGAATTTTATAAGCAACTATTGTTTATCCTCGAAAAATCTGTAGTAGTCAAAAATATTAGGAGTAGAGAAGTATTCATATATAAACTTTATTCTCACTCCATGGACAATGTCTTCATGGTAGATGCTGATGAAAATTAATCTCCCTAAATAAACAGACTGATTACACATATTTTCATGTAGAAGCAGCCCCAAAATTTATTTTACACATTTCTGCCTATGTCTCTTATTATAAAATATGCACAATTTTCTGTATTAAACTTTTAGTCTCTTACCTGGCAATGTTATCCGTCTCAAAAAGAAATCCAGTCCTATAGTTTGTTTGTACTGCTTCCCAAAAGTTTCTTGAGCAAAACATGTAGCTAAGGAGGTCTAAAAAATTAATGCACATAATATCAAAATTAACGTCTTTGTTTTAGAAATTTAACATCACATCACTACTAAATCTTATTAAGTAATATTAATATTCATACTCCCATTAATCCAACAACTTTAAGCCGTTCTAATCAGTTTCAAGAGGAAGAGGAACTTAACACGCCACCAGGTAAACTTCACTTGCCAACAGCTATCAGTGGAGACAACAAACTGCTAGATCTCTTTAAATCTGCAATGTCAAGCTCCTTTTCCTAGCTGGAAATTAGAATTTGAAATGTATCAACAGAGAAAACTAAAGCATCATGATAAAAGATCTGAATCTTATATATCCATATATATCAGTTCAATTCAAATTTCAGAAAACTCTTAAGTTTCATTTTTGAGGTTAAATAATTTGAGTAGTTTGTGCCCTCAGCCAATAATAAAAAATGATTAAGGAGGGAAAAGACTGTTTATATAATTTCTTTTCTTCTCCCCCTCCCCACAAGAAAAGTATCCTTAAATATCTAATCTGTCTCTATATTAAAGCTGTTAAATAAAAATAATTCTATAGAATAACTGATAATATATAGCCCTTAAATGAAAAAGTTGATAGTTTTAAATTAATATTAAGCAGGCAAAAATAAATGTTTTCCACCCATGAACCTTAAAAGTCATAAGAATATTATAACCAGAACAAATATATACAGTATCTACATTATTTTAAAAGCTCAAAAGTTGTATTCAAAATTCTAAGGTTTTACCATTTATCAAAGCAAAAGAATAATTAATCATTCTGGTAACAAGTAAAATAAGTCAGCTTACAAGCTTCTTAAACATCTTAAATGCACTATTTATTTGTAAACTTTCCCAAATAGAAGAGAAAGACAGCTTCATGAAGATTTTATGCACTTCAAGACTCCCAAAGTTAAGGAAAAATGGCACTTTGGTTTGAAAAGTTAAAACTAGATATCAACTCCTAAATATTTAAAATTAAGATAAAATTTCCTAGATAGCGCATTATAATTATGACATAAGTATAGCAGTGCAAAAGAAATTCTAATCAATTTCAATTCCTTTAAACAAAACAACCTAAAACTCCTTTTGACACAAGAAACATATTTCTCACAGAAATGGCAACTTGCATGCCTAGCTCCAATTCCTTTATAATAGTTAAATACTCAGCATTCATAATAAATTTCGAAGACACTTGGTCAAATATTTACTGAGCACTACGAGAAAGATGTTCTGCTAGACAATGAGAAATAAACTCACTACACCAAAATGAAAATTTATTTGGCTTCCCTGAAGCATATAACAATACCATAAAAACTGAGAAATCAGAATTAAAAAGGTAAAATACTCCTTTTTAAGCCCTTTTTTCACTTTAGACTTATTTATGCCATTGAACTTAATTCAGAACACAACTCATCTGTGAAGAAGCTCAGAGTTCTAGAGAAAAATAACTATCATCACTACTGCTACAGATATTTCAAAATGTTTAATACATGGATGGCTGAAATATTTTAAGTCAAAAAGAAACTCAGAGCATATGTAACATCAGCATAATGTCTTTTAAGGTAATTTTTCACTTTAAGATTCTCAAAGTTCAATGTTTTTATACTAATGAATATTCAGAACAATTCTAAGGTTCTTTTCTTAGAAACTTCTACCCACACTTTTGAGGCAAAATTAGGGTTTCAAGTGAAATGAAGTATAATCTATCAAGAGTACCGGTCATTGGGCACACAAAATATTAGAATGGATTCTTGTTTCATCTCCGGACACTTTATTATAATTACTATAAAATTAAACAGGATCAACCAAACCAATGGGAGGCACTTCCTCCTCAATTATGTAGTCTTTATACTATTTTTCAGATCCAATAATTTCTCACACATCATTGTATAAATATGGGTCTTAAACAAGTATAAAGTGAGCAACCATCTACCATATCTGAAATATTTCATCTCATTCTGTGGGGTTTTTGTTTGTGTTATGGTTTGGTGAACATTTTGCCAACAATTTTTAACCACACTACACTTACTAATACTGAAAAGACACCATAAAGAATGTTTTGCCTTAAAAAAATCTTTAAAAATATGCAATGAAATCAAAAGTGAGAATCAAAACAGGAAAGAGGTAGAAACGTGTGTTACTAGGGGGAGGAGCTAAATTTCTCTTGGAGACTGTTGGTGGTGATCTCAATCTATTCTCTCAGTATGTATCAAAATGCTCTGAGTTAGAACTAGCAGATACACTCATGCTAGAAAAAATGGCCAGGAGTTAAAGCAGGATACAAATTAGAATGAAAGAGAGGCTGAGTTCATAAAAGAAAAGGAAGTAAAATGGCAATGTTGGTAGCTGCCAATAATTTGAGAACTGAATAGGGAATGGAGAAAAAAACTTGATACATGAATAATGATAAAAGGTTAGGTTTCTGATGCTTGTATCTGAAAACTTTGCACCAAAAAACTCTTACGGTTTAAAAATAGATGATTCAAGATGTTGAAAACTAAGTCAAAACACCATAATGAATATCACTGTTATCCTGTGAAGCAGAATGATAGTCCTTCCACAATACAGAAGGGAGAAAATATGCTTTGTCCTACACAAAATTTTAGACAGAGATGAAAAACCATAATTATTCACACTAAATTAACAAGAGGAACACATGTATAACAGGCTAAATAAAAAACCTAAATACAGAATTATGAACAAATTTCAACTGAATAATACACCTATGATAATAGATAAATACTGGGAGAAATAAATAAAAGTTTAAAGAATTATGATAGAATGTAGGATAATGGGCAATTTTTTGTCTTTACAAGTGTATTAGTGTTATAGATTGTCATTACAATTTTAAACAGGAAATAAATTATTTGACTGTAAAAAATGTAAAATGAAAAATTACAAGGCTTTCAAAAGAAAATATGAAGAATGAGAAAACTAAAATGTAACCTAGATTTTTATTGAATAACGGTGTTAGAAACAATGCTAACTGGTTTCAATTCATACATTCAAAAAGTTGTTTGAAGTGTACAAAAACTCCTATAATTAATACTTTATAACGAAAAGTGATCCCAAGTTCTTCTCATCCCCAAAATGCTTCGGGCAACAGCATATTTAGTGGTTTTTCCCCCGGCAGTAAAAATCAGTAACAAAATACAGAAGGCAAGAAAGAAATTAACAGAATTCCCCAAATTCTGCACATGAATGACACGTTTCCCACGGGCCCTGGGAACCCAAAGCACAGAACCAAAGACACGGACACCAGGGTCCAAACCATGCCGGGAGCACGGAACTGTGAGGACAAACAAGGGAAGCTGGTGCTGATAACCTGAAGGCTCTGGCTGGGGGCCGGGAGGGGAGAAGAAAGGAGACAAACTCGAGCGGTATTCCCAGCAACAGTGTCGGCCCTCGGGCAGAAGCGACAGGTGCGATGGCACCCGGCAGGGACCCTCCCTTTCCTTTAGGGAAGAAGGGGGGGGGGGGGCCGTCACAGACCCCTTGGAGCTCTCCAAAGAGCAAACACCGGGCGATGTTTATTCCATTTCAGCAGCTCCACAGCGTTGGGTTACAAACCGCCCCCCCCTCCCCGCCCCGGCCTGGCCTCGGGCGGGCGTCCGTCTGGGGACCGGCCGCCGCCGAATATTCCCACGCCCTGGCTCCCATTCATTCAACCCAGCCTCGCGGAAGGCTCGACTTCCGGCCAAGGACCCCCTGGGTCAAGCTAACAGCTCTCCCCCCAGCATCCAGCCCCTCATAGGAAGGAGCTCGGCAGGGATTTGGGGGATGAATGCTTGAGCTGACAGGTGCTGTCCCGGAAACAGAGAGGAGCGGGCATGATGCTGGGAAACAGCAACTAACGCTGATGGAGTGCACACTGCGTGCTGGGAGCTGGTTGTGGCTTTTCACGTGGAGTGTGCACTTGCACGCTTCGGGCTGGGAGGCGACCCCTGTGCATCCCCCCACCCCACCCCCGCCCCGCCGCACGCGCCCCCCTTACAGAGGAAGCACGACCAGGTGAGCAATTTGCCCTCCGAGGACCTGACCAGTCAGTGATTCTGGGGGATCGTATTCCAGAGCCACGCTCGTGGGAGCCCCCAGGGAAATAAGTGGAGGCATCGGGCACGGGAAGGGGGAGGGGGAGCGAAGTGTGACCTGAACTAAGGGAAGAGATGCGCCGCTCGGGCCAGACCCTGCCCATCACCAGACGGAGGCTGGACAGCTGCCTGGGGAGGCGAGGCCGGCGGAGTCTGGACAAGCAGGAGTGCGCGCTGCATCGGGGAGCTGAGAAGTGACCTTTTTAAATAGGAATCATTTCAGGGGAGGGTGGGACGCTCTCGCCAGCCATTACCAAGAGCCTGCTTCGCGCCCGGCCCCAGGCCACGACCTGGCGGGCCCGGGCCCGAGGCCCCAGGGCGGCGGGGAGGAGGATGCGGGGTCCAGCGCCGCGCCGGGGGCCTGCAGGCGAGGACGGCGAGCCCGCCCCGGACTGACCTTCCCGGAGGTGCCGTCCCCCAGCACGACGATTTTCAGTTGCCGGTCCTGGCTCTCCTCCTCAGAGTCCGACATGCTGTCCCGGGAACCAGGCCTGCCTCCCCCCACCCCCCGAGGCCGAGGGAGGAAGGGCAGGAGGGGGGTTCCGGGGGTGGGGAGAGGAGGAAGGGCGGCAGTGGGAGCAGAACCCCCCGCCCGGGTGCCTGAGCCACCACCGGAGAAATCCGCGCAAATCACTCGCCGGGCGCCATCTTGCCCGCTCGGCCGCCCCCCCTCGGCGCGGCCACGCCCCCTTCGCGTGACGTCCACGCGCCCCCCCAGCGTCAGCGCCGACCTGCGCCTGCCGAGCCCCCCGGCCGAGCCGGCCCATTCGCGGGCCTGGGGTGGGCGCGACGTTCGAGGCGAGCAGCCAGACCGCGGCGTTACCCTCGCAGGGACCACAGGCGATGGAGGGGGAGTGTATCATTCAAACGAGGCAGGAAAATGGGAACCGAGTATCTCGCAGATGTTCTATCAAATTCTCTTGTAGCCATCACCCCCGGAGAAGACCCCCGAGACGAATGGTTTGGCCCGAGGGAGGGGTGACGCCTGGGCTGCGCGCCGCGGTTGCCATGGGAGCCAGGCGGCGGGACGGAGCCTGTGTCTGGGCGCCCGGACACGGCTTGTCTGGGGGAGCGCGCAGGGGCGAGGCCCTGGAGCTGGAACCCCAGAATCGGATGGTTCATTGATCAGCCCCAAACCCTAAAGTATCAGTCGTCAAAGCATGGTCCGGGGAACCCTGGGAGAAGAGGGGGGCAGATAAAATCAAAACTATTTTCATAGTAATACACTTTTTTTTTTTTTTTTTTTTGCCTTTTTCATGTTCATTCTCTCGCAGGTAAAGAGTTTCCAGAGGATAGATGAGGTGTATGACATCACTCTGGCAGCTAAGGGAGCCTGTGCTTATTATTCTGTTTCAAACATTTCTTAGTGTTAATATCAAGGCCGTAGTGATAGCTAAACTTAAATAAACAAACGTTCTTTGGGGTTCACAGTAATCCTTAAGAGTGTCAGGGGCCCTGGGCCTAAAATTTGGGGAACTGCTCTCCAGTAGGGTAGGTAAAAGACATCACAATTTTTTTTTTATAAAATGAGATAAAATCGCCCTAACCGGTTTGGCTCAGTGGATAGAGCGTCAGCCTGGGGACTCAAGGGTCCCAGGTTCGATTCCCATCAAGGGCATGTGCCTTGGTTGCGGGCACATACCCAGCAGGGAGTGTGCAGGAGGCAGCTGATCAATGTTCTCTCTCATCAGTGTTTCTAACTCTCTATTCCTCTCCCTTCCTCTCTGTAAAAAATCAATAAAATATATTTTTAAAATGAGATAAAATCCACAATAATAATTCTGGCCTACTATGTTTGTCTCATTGTTCATTATTTGACATGTTCACTCCTCATGGGAACCCCAAAAAGAATAGGTAGAATCATCCCATTTTACAGATGAAGAAGCTTAAGTCACAATAGGCTGAGCTCAGAGGCCATGTCCTTCATAGAATGAGATTCGGATGGGAAAGCGAAAGTGGTACAGTGTAAGAAGTGCCCAGCCTGGAGGCAGCCCTGGAATTCTGATCACAGACTGCACTTACTTGAGCCACAGTTTCCTTACTTAGGAAATAGAGGTATGGTCCTACCTCCTTCACAGGGTTGAGAATTCAATGTAATAATCAATGTAAAGTCACACAGCACAACGCCTGGCATATAGTAAACACTCATTATTAACCAATGTGATTACCACCCTCATCATCTGTCCTGAGGTAAAACACCTCTGCTGTCTAGGTTACCTCTTCCTCTGTAGATAGGGCTGGTCCATAATAACAGCTACCTAGTTAATATTTCCAGTCTTCCTCTACTCCCCACCACTGCCTTTCTGCATCACTAGGTGTGTTCATGAAAATTAGAAGAAAAAATGCATGTGAAAGGGCTTTGCAAAATGCTTGGTAAATGTTAGCTTTGGGAATCTGTATCTAATACGTAAGGATAGATTTAACCCCTTTTTGTCCACAAGGGGAGTTAATGTGGCAGAAACTTGCTTTTCTACTCTTCCTTAATGAAGATGGTTGTGTGGCCCAGTACTGACCAATGAACTGGAAGAGGGTGTCCTTTGGGAGAAACCTGGGAAAGATTTTCCTCTCTGATAGGAAAAGGAAGAAGAAAAGGAGGAGAAAAAGGAGATATGCAGAAGGAAAGATCTCCCCCTCCCTTCCTTTGCTGTCAATATTTGAATGAGGACATAATGTTTGGAACTGCTCAGTCTTAGGCTTCTTATGGGGAATAATAATAAGGCACTTAGTGATGTAGTCCATTACTTGAAGACAAAAAAATTCCCAACTGGCAAAACTATTTTGGCCAAAAACTAGATTTAGCTAAAGTCATAGGACTGATTTTCATGTGTAGTTTAATGTGAAGGGAGATCTAGAGGAAAACTTTGCATTTTCCAGTCATTAATTTTCTAAACAACTGCCTTCATCCCTGTGACATGAAATAAAAAGCCAATTGCATCAAGTTAGTGACCACATTTTACATATCTATGGCAAGATTCCAGGGTGAAAATTAGATTTGAAAACTTGGAGCCATATTTGTAAATTAAAAAGAAATAAATATTCCTCTGTATGGAGTACCTTGCTGGCTGGCATTGAAAGCTTCCGGTATGCTGCTTTTCCATGCTAAAGAGAAACAGAGCTGATCCACAGAAAACAAAGGCGTGTCTGTAGATCCTCTGTAAAATGCCCAGGCAGGGCCATAAACTAGGGGAATCTTTTCCCATATTCTTAAAACTAGTAACTTAACAAAATGTTTAGAGAAGAATTCTAGAAACAAGAGATCAGGGTTCTTTAGATATGAAGGAGTGAAAGTAATTACACAAGATAAACCTGACTGCTATCTGTAAAACCAACTTCCCACCTAATTTTAAAATACCTCTTCTGGCATCCGTAACATATGAAAATCCAATTTTTGTTGGAATACTTCCAGATTCAAGGAGTTTATTCCCTCATGAAGCAACTTCGAAGATGGCCTGGTTATTAGAATATTCTTTCGGAGATTAGCTGAAGTCTCCCACTGTAAATTTCAACAAATAGTATTGGCTGTGTCTTCTGGAGTAAAACAGAACCACCACCTCCCCCCCCCCCCATTCTAAAAGAAGGTCTCCAAAATGATTCATTATATTAATGATTGGTTTGACAACTATTAAGTGAATGCCTACCGTGTGCCAAGAATTCTTGTACAATTCTTCTGAGTAATGAGGACACATACAAGTGAGCAAAGCATACAAGGATCTGCTCCGAAGGAACTTGCAATCTGGTGGAGAGGTGTGTAGGAGACTAAATAATGATTGCCCAAAGATATCAGGTCCTAATTCCTGGAACCTGTAAATGTTACCTTAGTTGGGAAAAGCACCCTTCAGGTGTGATTAAATTCAGGTTCTTAAGATGGAGAGATTATTCTGAATTATCAGGGTAGGCCCTAAATGCAATCATATGTATCCTTAGAGCAGTGGTTCTCAACCTTGGCTGCACATTAAGAATCACCTGGGAATCTTTTTAAAATCCTGATTTCTGGGCCTTATCCTCGGGAAATTCTGTATCTTTGTTATGGGGTGGGGCCACACATTAGTAACAAAGAAACAGAATTTCCGGAGGATGAGGCCCAGAAATCAGGATTTTAAAAAGATTCCCAGGTGATTCTAATGTGCAGCCAAGGTTGAGAACCACTGCCTTAGAGAGAGAGAGGAGGAGATTTGAACCAATGTGACCACAAAGGCAGAGACTGGAGTGATGCAACCACAAGCCAAAGAATGCTGGCAGCCACTAGAAACTGGAAGAGTCAAGGAAGGAATTTGTCCCCTGGAGCCTCTAGGAAGAGCACAGCCCTGTCAACATCTAGACTTCAGTCTCATGAACACTGATTTAGGGCTTCTGCCCTCCAAAACTGTGAAAGAATAAATGTATGTTCTCTTAATCCACCAAGTTTATGGTAATTTGTTACAATGGCCACAGGAAACTAATACAAGAAGAAACAGAAATTTTATAAATCAAACATACAGATTTCAGATTGAAAAAAACAACAACAGATGATAGATGGGATAAGCACTAAAGATACCTGAACATTTTTGTTCAAACACTAAATAAATGGAGAGATATCTCATCTCCATACATAGAAACATAGTATTGTAAAATGTAGCAATTCTACCAAAAAATCTATGAAGTCAATGCAATTCTAATAAAATTTTTCATGAAATTTGAAATAATGCATACAGAAGGCAAGGATCCAAGAATATTGAAGATATTCCAGGAAAAGAAGGGCAAAGAACTTGCTTTACCAGATATCAAGACTTTGCATAAAGTTATAATAATTAAGATATAGTGTATTTATTGTTTCAGGAATAGACGCAAATGAACCGTTATAACAAAATAGAGAGCCATGAAATGGACTCCCATATACATGGAACTTTGGTGTACAACAGAGCATACATGATAGTAAATAAAAGGGGAAAAGTAGCATAGCTGGAAACCACATAGAAAAAAGAAATGAAATTGGAATTCTACATTTGATCACACACACACGCACGCATACATACATACACACATGCAAGAAAAATTTCCAGTGAAATTACGGATCTTTTATTATAATTACAAATCTAAATGTAAAAAACAAAATTTAAATGACTTATGATGACTATTTTTCTTATCTTGGGATACACAAAGATTTATTGAACACAATACAAAGAATTAATCATAAAGGATAATATAAAAAATTATATTATCCGGTTTGGCTCAATGGCTAGAGCGTCGGCCTGCAGACTGAAGGGTCCTGGGTTCGATTCCGGTCAAGGGCACAAGTCCGGGTTGCGGGCTCGATCCCCAATAGGGGACATGCAAGAGGCAGCCAATCAATGATCCTCTCTCATCATTAATGTTTCAATCTCTCTCTCCCTCTCCCTTCCTCTCTGAAATCAATAAAAATATATATTTAAAAATTGCATTAAAGTTAAAAACTACTTCACCAAAAGATACCACACACACAGAGAAGGTTGGGGATTATTATAACATCTGTTATGTAAACTACCCAGTATTTCGTTGTGACAGCCCAAACTAACTAAAACAGATTTTGAGCACAATTCAGTCCATAGCAATATCTAAAAGAAAAATAAGTGTACTTGCCTAATATTTTAAGTATAGAAAAAGAGATTAGAATTTCCAAATTTTTAAAAATATTATTAAGTGACTGTAATTAAAACTGTGGAACAGGCACTGGA